AGCAAATATAATAATAACAGTGAAGGAAAAAGAAGTCCAGGAGAGGAGGTGACGAACAGAGAGGGTAAGAAAAAAAGGAAATACAGCCGTACTGTATTTAAGAAGGAAAATACAACAGAGGTCAGCAAAGGAAGGACAAAAGAAGGGCAACATGAAAGATGAATGAACGGAAAGAACAAAAGACCGAGATGAAGAGATGACAAGAAACGGAACAGGAAAACTGAAGAAAGGAAAATAAATAAAAAACTATAACAAAGGAAAAAAAGTCTAAAAGGAGGAGGAGTCAGAGGTAAAGGGAAGACGTGAAATTAGAAAGGAAAGGAAGGAAAAGAAAAGAGATCTGCTGTGTTTCACTGACTATGAGTCACTGTACCAAAACACTCCAAACACAGTCAAGTGAAAAAGGACAATAATTCATAAAAAACACTTATAGGCGGCAAAGCATTTCCTCATTCACACAGGCTTTAAATTACCTGTGCAAAACCCCCAGACAAAGTCTTATTTTGAAAGGATGGGACTGACCATAAATGAGTTTTTGTAGCCTCTTCATTCTTTTCTACTTTGACAGACAGACGTTGACAGACATAAACACATGCAGTCCTTCCTGCAGCGCCCCCGGTGGGTGGATGTCTGCATTTACAGCTTGTTTACATTTTTTTTTTAAATAAAAAAATTAAGTGGCAGGTATTCCCCACTCCAGATGGGACAAATACATGAAATGAGTTGGAGATAAAACTACTTTTTGCATTTAATAAAAGTGTATTATACTCCCCAATTCAAATTCAAGGCCTTTAAAAAGTTTTATTCCACTACCAAAAACTCTTCGCTTCGAGAAGCTTTTTTTGAAGTGTATAAAAGGAAAAAGTGGGAGGAGACAAAGGCTTTCTCAGGTTCTGAGCCTAAACTGTTAGAGTAAACAAGACGCCTGGAATTACAGACATATTTCATTCAGTATCGCAGCTTCAGGTGTATGCAGGTGAGCGGTGACGGCTACAATAATAAGACACGATGATTAGAGCCAGAGAGGAAATAGGAGAGCTGAGATTAACAGAATAAAAGGAATAATAGAGCAGGAAGGTCTCATCTCCTCACTTCATGTACAGCATGCTTCATTCTCCCGGCTCATTATATCCTACTATCCTGCCATTCTTTTCTATCCAGGGATCCACTTCTCCCCGTATCTCCGACTTGTTGCGTCTCCCTTTCACAGCACAATGCCCACCGCCTCTCCCTCTGCTCTCCATCCACCCCCGCTACTGAATGAGGAACCATGTGTATACGTCTGTGTTGTATCTGTGAGCGAGCGAGTGAAGAACATGTGGGTGCATCCAACTGCACCGCTGAGAGTGGCCATGTGCACGTCTCTCTCTGCGGGGGTGTGAAATAACATCCATTGCAAAAGAAAAGAAAAAAACAGAATAGAGCACAAACACACACCTGTGATGGGACGCTAGATTTCACATGATCGCAGCGAGTGGTTTGTTTTAGAGTGTGACTATCACGCGCAGAGAAGGGTTTTATTTTAAAATAAGGGAGTAAATTAGTAAATCAATACTGGAACAAGCTAAATATAGAAAAGAGCTGCAAACACACAAATCAGCCTGTATAAAAACAAACAGGAACAAGGTTCTGCCCCCAGGGCTCGATCATTACGCTGCGAGCTCAGTAAGCAGCTTTAAAAGGTGTCGCTGTAGCTCAGGAGGTCGTCTGCTTATCGGAAGGTTGGTGGTTCGATACCTGGCTGCTCCGGTCTGCGTGCCAAAGTATCCTTGGGAAAGATACTAAACCCAAGTTGCTCTCTGATGCATCCACCCGAGAGTGAATGTTAGAAAGCACTAATCCTAATTCAGACACGCCCATGGCTCATGAGCTAGTTTTATCCTAAAATGTGTTAGTACAGAAATTCCAAATCTTTCCAGGGATGGCAGGTTGGGAAACTTTGATGTTATTTATGTTATTTTTATTTGTGTTGTTGCAGGTCCAGCCACAAACTCTCCACAAAAGATGGTCTGATTGTGAAGCTAGTGATGGTGTGCTTTAAGCCTGCATTCTTTCTAATGGCCAGCAGGGGGCTCTCAGCTTTGTCAATCAGTGACCTCAGGAAACACTTTCCTGATGAGTTTATGATATTAGTCGCTATTTTTAAGAATTAGCAAGTAAAACATGCTTTTGATGTTGCTCCTTGTCACACCTGGTTTAAAAAATGCTGACCATGTTTATATGAAAAGGTCATTTCATGCCCGTCTTATGCAGTTGTGGTCACAAGTCCATGATTATGAATGTCATGGTAGTTTTGGGCTTTTAATGATTTCTTGGAGTGCTTGTATGGCAGAGTTTAAAAAACAAGAACTGGGTGCACGAATTTGAATTCATTTTTGATTTTGTCTAATCTACACAGGCTCAAATATATACGTGGAGGCCCAGTAACATGTGGCTAAATGTCCCTTAGCAGCAGCATTCATGCCCATTATGAGTGGATGTAAACTTCTGTATGTACTGATAGGTCTGTGCAGGAGCACAGAGATTCACAGATGGTGCAGAGGGAGATTGCTGCAAAAAGATCCATGAATATTAAGTTTCTTGCTTTGCTTTCTTCTGTTTGCATTCAAGGGTTAAAGAGGCAATTTTTCTTTTATTTTTGAGCAGCGACACTTTTATCATTTAGGACAAGACTGCAGCGACTTCAGCTCACCTTAAGTATAATGCTTGAGTTCACAGAAATGTAAATAAGCACACAGCCACACAGACCTTAACATCTGCAACACATCTGTTTGGCCCTAATATGTGATGTAAACAGAGCATACTGATTAGAATGAGGGTAATGTCTCAGTGAAAGTAAATGTGATTCTATCCAGCTTGCTGATTATGCTAATGCAACAGCTAGTATTCCTGTGCAGACATGTGGCTTTTTCTTCATTTTTATAGCGCTGACAATCTCGGTCTGTTGTGAAGGCTTCTCCTCTTCCTGCCTTTGAGGAAGAGTTGTTAAATATCTATTAGACCCAAGTTCAACATGAACAACTCAGCTGCATTTATGACCGCAGAGCAATGCAGACACACCAGCTTACAATGACATGGATTCATAAATTAAAATTTGGTTAATTTTAAGTTTAACCGCAGCTTGAAGGCTACCAATCAATGAGCCAGGCTCCGAGACAAATTCCCAAATATTAAGGCGGATGAGTCTTGTCCATAAGTGTCAGAGTTCCAAAGCAGATTCCATTGCAGAGATCTCCGTCGGCTAAAGCATTAAAAATGAACAACAGACTTCTGTGGGCTGAATCTCTTCATCTGTAACCGGTTTTGTTTGGAGGTGGATTCTCCTTCGCTCTGTGGTGTTTACGTGTCTAAAAATGACATCTCTTCTATCCCAGCGAGGCCTCCTGTGCGGTGGCAGTGTTTAAATAGCTGTCTATATGTCAGCGGAGATGTTTGAACTGGATTGCCTGCCTCTCTGCGGATCTCCTCCGCAATCTGCTCCTCTGACCACTTTTGTTCGGCTGCTTCGGGAGCGCTGCAGCTGCTATTTTTGGAAAGGTAGTGGGAGGCTGTGGTCGCACCTTTGTACAGGATGCAGGTAAAGAGACGTTGAAATGGAGCTGCCTTGTTCTCGTTCTCTTTTGATTTTTTTTCCTTTTGCTTTTCATGCATCCAGAATGCAACATGTTCACGAGCATACATGTGATTTCTGCCTATACATACACTAATGTGTGCATTTTATCTGCCTGTCACTGTGTGTGTTTGCTGCCGAGAGAATGCAGGGAGGAAAGAGCATCGTGGTAGCTATGGAGTCGTATCCATGGTGCCGTAACTATGGCAACAAAGCTTGGAAAGCTGGCGACTTAATTGGCATCTCTGAGGCGCCATGGAGCTGTGATCCAGAATAGCAACCCTTGACACACTAATGTTTCCTTCACATGCCAAACAACACTAGCGTCATCACTGAGGATGCAAACAAGCTGATCAATATCCCGTATTGTTTCCTGCCCTCCAGTCTGTGTGTGAGAATTAAAAGCACAGAACGTATGGAAGACTCAAACTACCAACATCGAAATTGGAAAAGCCAATAAATAAAGAATTAAAAAAAAACAAAAGAAGTTGTTAATTCCTTTTAAAAACATGGAATAAATTCATATTAATTTTGTGTTTTAAATTAGATTTTTTCCACATTTGTTTTTATCATTTCAATTTTATTAATACAAATATTTTTGTAACTTTCTAAATGTAATTATTTTCTCTCTTTCCTTTTTTTTTTAATCCAAATTTATTTATCTACAAATTTCCTTTGTTTCTTTTTTTTTTTTGAGGCCTGTATGGAGGCCCAGTATGGGGGCCTAAAGCTGCCAATATGAAAAAATAAACAAGTACATAAATGATTATTTGTAAACAAAATAAGAAAAGAAATGAAGATGTGAGTTAAAAATAAGACTCTATTTATTCATTAGTATTTAGCTTAAAGATAAATGACTTACTAAAAAAATAACAGGCCATTACATGTATCAGAAACAATAAACAAAACAAATTATACATAATAATATTATTATTGATTTATATTGATTTATATTTTTGTATTAAAATATAAGCTAAAAGGATATCTTTAAAAATAGTTTAAATAAATAAACTAATGTTCAATTTATTCTATCAACACAATAATAAAGTTAATAATAAGGTCATTTGTTTTTAAAAAATGATTAATTTTTATATTATTTATTATTTTATTATTCTTTCATGCATTTATATCTGCACAGAAGACATCACTGACAGCTTAGCTCCCCATTTGAGGCAACCAATAAATAAATAGGTAATTATAAAAAAAATTGTACATCAGTAAATTTAATCATATCAATTCCAAATATACTAAAATACTGAATGATTTATTAACCAATTTATATATTTCTTTATTTTTTTAAAAATTGGGTACATTTGGTCCTCCACAGATGATGAATTAAAAACAGCTTAAGATAATAATATTTACATTAGGTCAATTTAAAAAGACTTACAATGTCCACTGCAGCTTCTGGTTCTTGATTGAGTTGTAGAGAGCCTGTAGAGGAAACAAGAAAATCACATTTAGGAAAAATATTAGCAGTGTACAGGTGGACAATTGATCAGATAATGCAGCGCGCGGGTAAAACACAGAGGCAGGTTTATTGTGGTTTTCTGTGAAAACTGCGCAAGCAAGCTGGCTTTATTCAATAAGCTGTAGTCAGAGAAATTGCATCCCTTTTCATGCTGCTCAAACTTCCCTTTGCATGAGCTTTACTCATTTTCTTAGCCACACAATCCATCGACCATCCAATCAGTCAGCCACCATCACCACTGCATCAGTAACAAAGCCATTATTCACCAAGCACCCAGGCCTTTCAATGAACGGACGGGCAAATCAATCAGCCAATAAATAATTTAGACAAATGCATCGACCCACATGGAGAAAAATTAAGTTACAGTCTGGGAGCAAAAAGCATAACAAAGACATTAGATCACCGCAACTAACCAGGCCTTCAGTATTTGTAATGTGATGAGTGGAATTTGTCTTTTTACTGGAAAGAGTTTGTACCAAACTCAACATAATGAAGCTTGTTGGGAAAGAGGAGCATAGGCGATGCGAACAAATAAAATCCAATAAACCCAAATAAATTATAAGCACATATTTCAAATGTTTACTGGTTACAATTTTTCTTTTTTTATTGTTGTAAAAAACAAAATTCTTGACTGAATAATTTTATTTACTCACATAATAAGTGACACGCAAACTCTTTCTACACAAACAGGAGTCGAGCACAGGTACAGGTATTTTAACTGTAATGACATCATCACATCAAGTAACCAACTATCAATGGGCCAAAATGACTCATTTGTAGGATTTACGCACCTGTAACACCTCATACAAGCATGGCATCAATGTAACTAATTTATATCCACTAAGTGTTCATCATGATACATCATTATGCATAATGAAGGTGCCTAGCAACCATCTAACAATGAGCTAAAATCACAGACAAACAGTACCCTAGCAGGGACTCACACCTCTGATTTGCACTGGGGATGTGTCATGGGTTTGAAATGTGGTCATGTTTATTTTTCATCCTGCTCCCTCTACCCTGTTATCAGTTTTACTTCCTGTCTCTGCTTTTATCTTTTATTGTCACTCCTTTTTTCAATTAGTCCGTGTAAATACACAACCTGTGTAGCTCCTCCCATTTACCAGACAGTCTTTATTCATAGTTCCTTCAGGAAGACTTTCATTAGCTTACTTATTATTTTAATGGGCTCCTAAAATAATTGCAGGAACTTTAAGCCTAACAGGTCTTATTTAATCCATTTTAGGTATCTAGTGAATGTATGCGAGTACGCGTTAAAATAGAGAAATGTTATTAAAGCTTGGTGTTACTCAAAAAAGGCTTCTAGGTTTTCTCAAATTTGTCAGACCTTTGACGCCCGTGCTAACTGTTTACCTGAAAACTTCTGTTTCTTCCTGATTAAATCTTTGGATTTAGGATTTTACATTTCCTGGATTTAGGTCCTTTTCCTTTCTGATAAATGTGATAAATCAAAAATTCTAGAGAAAAAAATCCAGAGAAGTGTTTTGTATCCGTTTGCTTGCTGATTCTTCACATCCTTTGCACCATTTATCATTTTAGGTCATTACTTCCTCTCACAGCAAACACAGTCTTTTACTTTTATTATCATCATGATCAGCACAAGATAAAAACAAAAAACAGAGGCAAAGATGGGTTTTAATGAGAGATCCGGTCAGCTGCTGCTTCTCTGATCTGAGAGTCGGCACATTTGGCTTTAGTTTCCTCAAAATCTGTAGTGACAGTCAGGACCTTTAGACACTTCTCCTTCAGCTCCCCACACACCTCAATGACATCGGCCTCGGCCTGCTGAATGTGACACATAGCAGCTTCGTTTCACAGCCGGGCTGCTGCAGAGGAGCGGGGTCAGAGGAGGCAGCAGGAGGCCATCGGGCTGTAGCGTTTAAGGCAGCGAGTGCAGCTGAAAGACAGATGTGGCGGCTGAGGTGACGGAGAGGACACTTACGGGCAGTTCATCTCTGAATTCCTCATGGATCAATGCCACGCGTCTTCTTAAGAAACCTCAAACTAAAACCAGTTTCATTACACATATCAAGCCGCTGGTTGTCACTCGCGTTTTAGACTTTCAACCTAAACCGACTTAATGATGGTGTTTGATTCAGTGATCTAATCAGATTCATTCGCAGCTTTGAAACTGGGCCTAATCACAAATACTTCCAGAGCGCCATGAATATTGATGACCGCCCAGAGGAGACCGTTACAGATTTAGGTCTGTTTTGCTCCCGCTACTGTAAAACTCTCGAGTTATGTTTCAAACTTAACTGCGCTCATGCATTTTAATAGTCACGACAGACAGGGAAGATCTTCCCGGGATGCCCGAGTAGGAGACAAACTGCTACGGTGGCACAAATCCGACCAACATCAAATATTAACAGTGAATTTGTAAGCAGTAAAAGTGCAGTGATGTGACTGCAGACGTTTACGTGTACAACTGAGGAAAACTGCTTGTTTTCAAAAGATTCAAAATGCTGAGAACAAAAGGACATGCATGTGTCATTCCCATGGTTACAAAATACTAAAAATTAGAGGTTTCAATCACTCAGCAGAGAGTTTTGTTGGTTTTGTTCTTAGCCAGTAAGAGAGCCAGATTTGGACTTTCTTATTAAAAAGTAAAACGATTCTCAAAGATCTGGATCAGAGGTATTTCATATCAATATTTCACTTCTCATGAGCTTTTAAAACTTATTCAGTAACATATAAGGCTGTTATCTACCCTCTCATTTGGTTCTGAATAAGTCTAGTATGGTGAAAAGGAGATTTTAGAGTATTTTTCATTATAATATCCCAAGATTTCTCATTTAGGGTCACGCTTGTGGAACTTTTAGTGAGTAAATCTGAAGAAATTTCAAAAATAGCCCGGAGCTTCAAGTATGCGTAATATTCTACATTTGCCTCCACTTCAGCATAGCTCTGATTTGCATGCTGCGTGTGCAGAAACTGTGTCACAGCTGAGTCTATTTGGTGAGTTATTTCTGAAGAATATGTTTTATTTGTATTTCCCCTGATTGTAAATCCTGAGGGATCGACGGTATTGAGAGTCGTTGAGTCTGAAGGCTCACTCAGACAAAGATGGATGCTCGTCACCTTCACCTACTGGCTCCATCAACGTCACCAAGTGGCAACAGATGAGAGCCATTAGCCTTGAGTGGTGGCGTTAAGCGGCACGCTGTACTGAGCCGTGCTATACGTGCTGTCGGGTCTGGCAGAAATCCAGCCGCCTTCCTCAAACGCTCTGCACTCCACATGTATACAAGCAGCACAGGTGGTGAATCAAACAGTAAACACAAGCTCTCTCAGATATAGGGGTACAAGAAAAGGCCGTTTCTGTCCCTACAGGTGCAATCTGCATAAATATACACACTCTGTGGGTAATTGCCAGACCTTCTCAGGGCAAAAAAAGGACACACACATATTTCTTACCATTTCAAGTACATATTTGAACACTTTGCTTTAGATTTAAAGGTGCAATATCAGGAGGCGACGTATAGAAATAGGCATAAAATCATTGATATCTATTTGGATAACTTTTAGTACAGTTTGAGCTGTCTGTACGACTAAAAAAGTGGTATGCAACTAAAAGTTTATGAATGAATAAGAACAAAAATATATCTAAAAATAATAATAGGCATCCCTGGGCCAAATGCAGTCCATCCTTTAATCCATCCATTAAGGTACAAACCACAAGGGTACGAGTAAGTACACCAGTCAAGGGTGCAATGGGAGTATCTTAGAGGCTATAGCCAAGTTTTACCCCCTCAGATATACAATTAGCTCGGCTTTTATCAGCTTTCATAAACTGGATTTTTTCATCCAGCTCATATATCATGAGAAAAACAAAGAAATACATTCCTGGGTACCCACGTGCCCAATTTTGGACATCAAGGTGCAAAACTGTCATCGAAAGTTCAGGATTTCTGTGAGTTCCAAACAATCTGTGTACAGTTAAATAAGCTGCTGTGCTCTAAATGTACAATCAGCAAGGCTGCTAAGAAAAACTAGCCAGTGTTCGTCTATCGGCCCTGATTGGGCTTCCTTTCATCGACTTTCTGAGAAAATTAGACTTCATTTTGGATCGTTATTAACCCCAGTTAGAGTAAATAATTTCTTTCTGAGAACAGTTTAATAGAACAAAAGTTATATATTCTAATTGTCTGAACTGACGGTTAGGATTGAGGTCTTAGACCATCAAGTATAGTTACATACGAAGCCCTACACACCCAAGCTCTTGTTTATATAATATACCTGCTGAGACCTTATTCCAGCAACCTCTCTAACAGCTGATTGGGGCCCTTTAAATGTTTCATTTTCTTACTTTAAATCGAGCTTTTGCAGCTGCAGAATTAATCAGATTTATTTTATAGGTTAACTGTAACGACTCCCACTTTCAGACCATTTCTTCTGCTTAAACATGTGTGTGCATGTACTCTGCTAAATCTGCTATGTTTGAAAAACAAATAAAGTTATTACCGATATTTGCTGAGAGTGTACAGTGCAGGTTTAGGCTGTAAACAGATGTGTGGCTTTGAATGGCACTGAGCACTTGTGACATGAGCATGAAACGGAAAAACGATTCATCTCTTTTGTGCTGCAGAATAGATCATTTTAAATGAACAGCATGGTTTTAAGTACCTTCCTCCTCTTCCTGGCCTGTGGGTGGTTCTGTCCGTCCTGAGCTTTGCCCAACAGGTCCGGGAATACCAGGGGTTTGAGTGAACGCGAGCGCGGGGTTCTGGGATACCGGAACGGATCCATCATCCGGAAGTCCCTGCCGTATCGCACGGTGCAAAGAGAGCGTGAGCGCAGGCGCCCCGCCGAGTGCAAGCTGTTGACACCAATCATGGTGACGGATTACACAGAAGTGTCTGAAGATCAGTGGAAACCAACCCAGATGATTCAATTCTTATTTTTAAGTCTTGCAGAAACCACGCTTCTTAAAAAAAAAAAG